CAGTTTGATGGCTGGTGAGATTCATAACTTCAACTAGCATAGCTAAACCCTTCTCTGGTGAGTGATGGTTAAGACAGTCATCAAAGGAGACTCTTCTACTTCTTTTTGAGAAAAATGTATCCCCTCCCCCAATTTCCGAGACCTTAGCTTGTGCCCCAGTGGTTCTATAAAAGTAATCCTTTGCCTCTTTAAGGGATGGAAATAAAGATGAGTCCCCCATCATTTCTGAGTTTTCCTTTGAGAAGTCCAGTACTTGATTAAGAGATGCCTCATATTCATAAGTAGACATAATTGTTGAATTGTTAGGACCTACCAGGCTTGGAGTGCAGTCCATTAGGTTCAAAATATTGAACCTATTGTTTTGGCCTGTAGTGGGTTTCTTTTTCCATTCAAATTTTGATGGGCCCTTTACTGTCTGATTTCTTTCCTCGTGGGGGTTATGTGCACGGATTTTACCCTTTGTCTTTTTGCTCTTAATGGTTTCCCAGTTACCATCCTTCTCACTGTTGGAGCCTAGAGTACCCTTGCCGGAGGGACTTTTTCCGGTGGGAGTACTCATCTGAGTTTGGCAATGATGCCCATCAGCGTGACCCAGAATATTACACTCTTTGCAAAAGTGAGGCTTATCTTCATATCTGCAATTTGTGTAAAAATCCTTTCCCCCCATTCGTATGTGCAATTTATTTGGGGCTGGTACAGAGATATCCATCTCTACGCAGATCCTAGCCCCCTCCCTTCTATCTTTATTAACAGTGTAATCATCTAATTTTACAGGTCTACCCACCAGAGATGCTATGGAGAAGAGAGCCTGAAAGTCAATCAGATGCAGAGGCAATTTCTCCAATGTAATCCAGACTTGGAAAATTGGAGAATCTGTATATTGATTGTACTCTCTAGTCCATTTAAAAACGTAAAAAGTGCTTCCATTATCGTACCATTTTCTTCTCTGTAAAGACCTGATGTAGTCATCTTCATTCTTGAAAGTAAACAGTATGTCCCTTGAGTTGATTCTTCTAATCTTGAAATTGCTGAAACCCACCCTTAGCATGAATGCCTTTAATGTTGATAAGTGTTGCTCCTTATTGAACCTTCCAACTGCTGAGAAGTTCATTTTGCTCTCCAGTATGTCCTCTTCTTCTACCGTAAAGCTGATTGAAGGGATTCCATTATAGAACCCTTCCCTTCTACCCAGCTCTTTGACTGAAGTTTGAGCAAAAAGTTGAGAAAATAGTTTGATAAACTGTGAAGGATTTTTCTTGGTTCCCTTTTCCGGTAGATATGCCGGAGAATTGGCCGGAATTCTCTCCCTTCTCTCTAGAACCATTTTATATATATATATATATATATATATATATATATATCATATATATATATATATATATATATATATATATATATACACACACATGTACTTTATTCACGCCATACACACACACACATATATATATGGTTACATGTTAATTAGCTTGTGGATATACATATATATGTAATATGTATGTGCGTACATATATATGTATGTAATATACTTTTAACGTGTACACACACACACACACAGATATATATATATATATATATATATATATATATATATATATATATATTACATTATATATGATATTGTGTACATTTTATTTTGGAGTGTCATTTTATTTATGAAAATAATTATTTTGACAAAAAATATTTTAAAGTATATTTTATATACTTGTGTTAAAATGTTTTGGGTATTTTATTTTATTTCATAAAAATTATTGATGTCAAATAAAATACACTTTAAACATTTGAGAGGAGAAGAAGTAAATTCTTCCCCCTTTTTCTTTTTCGTACCATGCATGACCTTGAGTGTGTGGGGGATTTGTGTCCCACTACACTTCATTATGTGTGTGCATTTTTCCTTTACCAATTGTACTCCCTCCGTCCTATAATGATCTTCCCGGTTCGCAAAACGAAGAAAAATCCCAAGTTTTTTCAATCTATTTTATTTAAATATTGGTATAGAAATAAAAAATAAAACATACATATTTAAAAACTACACCAAAAGTTCAACAAAACAAGTGGTGACAAGAATATTTTATTTTATCATATAGGCCATGAAAAAACACAAATAAATATAAATTCCCGTGAAGTTGGAATAGTGCTCTGGGAAGATCATTATAGGACGGAGGGAGTATATGTTTATATATTATTCTTTTAATATTATATAACACATGGCTTTTTCTTCACTCCATAGGAGTGTTCGGCCAAGTTGAAGAGAAAGAGGGGAAAATGATTTTGAGTTCCAAAATTATTATTTTGGGGGTAGAAAATTGATATAATATTTTCTTTTAAAATATTATTGATATATTTTCTACTATTTAATATACAAGATTAAAATTATCCCTCTTAAATCTTTATATTAAATATACTATTATAATCTTTACTAGTAGACTCCGGAGATTGTTTGTGTGTCAAAGTTGGAGGCCGGACGCTTGAACGGCTACGTTTGCTCCTTCAACACTTTTTGCTCGACTTCTCGTTCATACTGCTTTACCGGAGAAGGTATAACTTTCTATCTCTAGCTATAGTTTTAGTACGTGTTCTTGGGCTAGTAATCGCTATTGGTATATTAGTTTTTTGTATTTCCGCTGCCCTCCCAACCGTGGTTACCTTTCACTCTTCGCATGGGAATCCAGAGATATGCCCGGAGTCGATCCTTAAGTCATTTGCCATAAGTTGAACATCAAGATGGACTCCCTTCCGGTCAAACAAAAGAAGAGGTATCTGTCCACGGACAAAAAAGAGTTCGTGAGGAAAGAGGTAATAACCCTTTTGGAGGCCGGCCACATCAAAGAGTGTAACGCCACAAAATATGGCCTAAAAGTTATTATAAAACAAAAGTAGTTTTTGTCCAATACGGAATATTTATACGTTTGACCAAAAATAAATGGTCTTTCAAAATAGTGACTTTTTGTTAAAAACTTATTTTTAATGGATTTGTCTCGAAGAGACGAATCCAACGGTACATTTTATGAACCAATCTGATTTATAAATTTCAAGTTATGATGATTTTAAATATTAAAATTTATAACATTGACCCATAAATTAAACTCAATTCAAAAGTGATTTTATAAGATTAGAAATCTTAATCTTCGACACTTAGCAACACCATATTCATCATTTGGACTTAATTCATGTAATTTAATTGCATTCATATTATAAAATTAATTTATGACAGAGACAGACCCAGACAATAAAAAAATAAAAGTTCTTAGAAAAATATTTTGATTACGTCAAAATTATAGTTTTGACAGTCTCATTCCAAAAACACAATCCATTTTCAATTCGGAATAGTTTGGGTGAAAAAGCGCGTACCATTTGGAGTAAACTGTTCAGTTTTAGAAAAAAGCCAAAACTTTATTTTCCAAATCTCTGCCAAATCACGTAGCTTCCCTTTGTGATGCTCACAATCCTATTTTCAACCCTCCACTAACTCCACTAAAACAACACTCCAAATAATTATATAATACTCCCAAAACAACACCATAACATCATCATCATCTTCTACCATCCTATTTTGATTACTTTTCCATTCATTATCTCGAAACACTTTCTAGGCCAAAGTTGTAGCCCCGGATGTTACGAATCCAGCCCAAGAAATGGTTTGTGATTTCGTTATGTAACAAAGGAGATATGGCCAAAATACCGGGACTGCACCAGTGGTAGCGAGCACCTCGAGTTGGACCATTTTCTTTACCAAATTCATATTGTTTCATTCCAAATACTTACCATAAACACTCTAGCGATTGTTAGGAACTTACGGGAGATATTGTAGAGAAGGTTTGATGTTGGAATATTGAGTTAATTTGCAAGATTGGCTGCCACTGCATATCTTTTCAAATCATGGGCAAAGGACTATTGTATGCTTCATGTCACAGTCAAACCACGGGTACAATACTATTGGGTGCTTTAAATCATACTCAATTCACAGGTGAACAATGACAAAGATTTAAAGACGATCCTATAGTCCAAAGGCTATACATCTACCATTATAATGTCGTATATCTCAACCCCAACTATAAATTCAAGATGAGAACTACAAGAAGCATACACAACCAAAACAGAGAGAAAGAAAAATAGAGAGAAGTTTACATATAAACTCAGAACGGAATATGGCTTCATTATATTGAGAATAAGAGCTGAGACTTCTGCCCAATCCACGGGACGCCAACATCCAAACCAAAGAGAGAACATACTCCAACCTCCAAGGGATCATGCTTATGTACGAGTTCTAATACAAATGACACAGTACGGCTTACCATCTATGACGCCCATGCAACCTCAGATCACGACAACATATCAAATACCAACTGTGAGGGAGACACAAACTCCAAACCTGTTGGACAATGTGCTATCATGAATATATATTTTTGCAATGTCCTTTGCCCATTTTCTTTTAGGTTTTGATAATGACAAAAGGGTGACAAAACACCATCATCATATTGTGCATCAAGGCTAAGAATCAAAGCTACAACAAGTTCATATCCCTCCGTGAAGAAGGGACTTGAGCATCGGTGGAAGGAATAAGACCGAAGAGGTTGTTTCCTTAGTTGGGTAGTGTTTTAGGTCTTAGATTATGTGTTAAAGAGTATGACATCTCTAAGGTTCATTCCCTTATCATCCAACCTTTAAAGCACATTTTAGATCAGCCTTTGTGTGGGGAAGTTGTCTTTTTATTCGAATAATCTTTAGTTTATTTGAATAAGCCGTGATCTTTCCTGTGACTGAAATCAACCTGTTTTATTCGAATAAATCCACCACTTATTCGAATAAGTCCTGGTTTTCAACCTGATTTATTCGAATAAATCACCCATATACTCGAATAGGAACTTGTTTTTCAAGCCACGCGATTGATCCAAACTATTCGAATAGTTCTTGAATTATTCGAATAAGACGACAGTTTCAACTACCTAAAGGCTAGTTTTTTGAATGCTTTTCATCCCTATCCACTCCCTAACTTCTATAAACTACCTACTTTCGTGATTATCTTTATAAGAGCACTTAGAACACTTTGAAGAACATATCCTTTGAATATCCAAAGAGATTCTACTCAATCCCCTCCTTATATCCAAGCAAAAGCAAGGCAATTGTTTTGATTGCTAAATCATTTCTTGCTTGAGTTTTTCCTCATTGCTTGAGTCTTTGAGAGATACTACCATATTCTAAAGGACTTCATTGTATTTGCAACAATCTACTCCGTGTTGGGAGAATTACTCGGTTGCGGTTTGTTTTCTTACTTTATTGTAAGGGATTTGTATTCTTGGTGTTGGGATTACACCAAGTGGTAGAAATCCTAATGGTTTGTGAAAGCAAACGTTAGGTGGAAGAAATCCTGAATTTTGTGAAATAAAAACTTCGGTGGTAAGATAAGAGGCTTGTGAAATCAAGTTCTCGAGTTGTATTCGGATTGTCAAACTCCGTTAAGTTTGACGGGTTAGTGAAGTCCTGGGCACGATTGCTTCGGGGACTGGATGTTGGCATTTAGGCCGAACCAGTATACATCGTGTATTGCTCCTTCTCTTTTTCTTTGTCTTCTTGTGGTTGGCATAATCCTGCGAATTTTTTGTTCAATCTTCCAAAAGTTTTGATTTTTGAAGAACACCTCTATTCACCCCCCTCTAGAGGTGCGTAAGTTGTTCAACACTTGGTATCGGAGCGAGGGATTTTCAAATCTTTATCGCTAAAAATTTAAAAAGATCATGGCTGGAAGAACATTTCAACCCGGAGTATCCAAAGGACAATCCACGACAAGTCCACCACTCTTCGACGGCACAAATTATGCTTGTTGAAAGAGAGGATGAGAATATTCATCCAAACCGTGTTCATTTTATGACAGGTTTTGATAATGCCAAACCACCGTGACAACAGCACTAAACTGAGCAAATCAAAGTCGAAGGAACATGGCATGACGAATTGAAAACCAAGAACCAAGAACCAAGAACGAAGACTTAGAATTTATTGACGACATGTTCGATCGATTTTCCAAGATTGTTAACGATCTTCATGCGTTGAAGAAGACTTACACCGACAGGGATCTTGTAGGAAAGATCTTATGGAGCATGACATCCGAATGGCGATCTAAGGCCGATGCCATCTATGAGTCAATCGGCACATAAAATGTCACCATCGACGGTTTAAGAGGTAACTTAAAAACATATGAATCTACTATACTGAATCCGTCTTTGAATGAGCAGAGAAAAGGTATAGCATTAAAAGCCTCCAAAGAACCGACAATAAATGACTCAAGCGACGAAGATGAAGTCAAGCTCATCATGAAGAAGTTTTGCAAACTTCTAAAGAAAGAGAAGGTAGAGGATGGCCCTGTGTGTTATGGATGTGGTGAAGCTGGACACATCAAAAGTAAATGCCCGAGAAGCGGAAGGAATGCTCGTCACTTCAAAAGGCAAAAAGCATACATCTCCTGGGGTGGCGACTCCGGCGACGAGTCAACCGACCAAGACGAGGATGAAGCTGCCAATCTTTGTCTTATGGAACACGAGGAAGACTCACCAACAACATCCGACAACGAAGAGGTATGTACCACTCCCTCTAAACCATATTCTCTTGAGGAAATGCATGATGCACTACAAGAACTCTATCAAGAGTTTGTTGGAGCTTCAAAATTGAATAAATCCCTAAAGAAACGCTTTTCTATTCTCGAAAACGATTTTGAAAAACTGGAAAAAGAAAATGAAAAATTGAAACAAGAAAATAAATTTTATGGCAAAAGAAGCGCCGATAAACTGGAGAATCTCTCCAATGAATGTGACTCTTGCAAAACCTTAAAAGAACAAGTTGCAAAACTTGAAAACACGGTTAAGAGGGTTAATACACCGCATAAAGATCTAAATATTATTCTCGACTCTATGCAATTCACTAAGGAAGGATTAGGCTTTAATGAGATTAAGGTTAAAGAAAACGTTGAGCAACCACCTAGACAACCACCTAAGGCTCAACGTAAGAAACTTAAAAATAAGGACACTAGACAACCTAGACAAAAAAAAATTTAAGTATCCTTATTTTAGGGTAAAAGAATTCCTTTTTGAAAATTAAAATTGATCACTCTATATATAATTTTCCTACAAATATAGAGATAAATTATATTCCTAAAAAGTGATTCAACCATAACTCTCTCCTCCTCACACTTTAGACGGAACCGCGCCCTCGCAGGTTTTAAATTGATAAGAATTTAGAGTTATGGTGGAAGAACGTGCATGCAAATTCTAAGTTGTCCTCACACTTAAAGATAAACAATATGCTGATGTAAATAAAAGTAATTAAAAATAAAAAAGGTTTACCAAAGGTGTGTTCAAAACAAACTGAAGTTCCAACCATTCCTGAATCAAACAAACAAAAAAGAAGAAACATATTAGTGCAGAGGAATAGCTCACTGCCCGCGTCCTCCTCCTTGCCCGCGACCGCGCCCTCTCTGGCGAGTGGTGCTAGGGACTCCTTGCTGTGCCTCCACGTAGTCCAAGATATGGGCAATTTGCGTACCCTTGTCTGCAAGGCTAGTCTCAATGCGATGCTGATGATCCTGGATTTCCTTCCAGCAAGTCTCCTGACAATGCTCAAAGGCGGTCCACCGCTGCTCATAAAGCTGGAAGCGTGAATCAATCGATGTCTGGAGATCACCAAAAGCAGTGGTTAGCTCCTCAAATGTAGTAGGCAATGGACGTGGAACAGCAGAGGAAGAGGCTCCATCTGCGGGCATGCTCGCCGGCATGTATGAAGGACTACCCGTGCCCGTGTCCTGATCTGGCTCGTATCTAGTGTCGCGTGGCCTCTTTCTGAATCCCATGTGGATGAGAGACTCCAGAGTGATAGGCCGTACACTAGACTCCTCGGGGAGATGGTCTGGGATGACGATGGTAGGCACGAGGGCGCGCACCAACAGAGTGATAATGGGTCCAGCCTGTATGTGATGGCGGTTTTATGTCGACTGATCAAACAGGAAACACCCAACAAAAGAGGAAAGGTCCACAGGTGTGTGGCTCTCCAGGCTCCAAAAGAAGATCAGATCAGTGTCGTAAACTCTGTTGGCGTTCTTATGACGCCCAAAGTAGCTGCAGCAGAGGAGGTGACTAAGTATCCTCCACGCGGGACTCCTCCAATCGGATGATGAGCTGTATTTGTTGCTGAAGTCTCTAGTGCTACGTGAATGAGTCCTCCAAAATGCCTTGACGTCAACATCCAAAGGAAGTCGATGTGGCAGGGCAAGAAAGTCCGGTGAGCTCGTCTCCTCAGGAGTATATATCCCCAGCAGGCGTCCTAGATCAAGAACGGGAATATCAAATCTCGTCCCACGAAGCGTGAACGTCATCCGTACTGAGGGATGGACTCCCTCCACATCTCGAACTCTGCTCCCATAAACGCCGAACCTCAGCGAGCAGATGAACTACATCATTAGTGGCACGCTAGCTTGTGCACGGAGTGAAAGCAAGCGCCTCCATTTGAGGTCATGGAGGAAGTCATCAACCTCCTCCCAATACCCCATGCTCTCCAGCGCTGCATGGTCCAATATCATCGGCGGCGTCAATACCTTCTTGCTACCCCAATCCCGATATCGATCGCGCGCCTCGGGGGTAGCAAAAGGTAAGTCTAGTCCATTAGCAGGGTAATAGCCATCTGCACAAAATTAAGCAAACATGTTAAACTTGCCCCCAAAATCTGGTGCGACAAATGTATTTGATAAGTCCGTTTCATTCTTATCATTTACATCATATTCTAAACGTTATTGCACGTAAATAGTATTTAATCATCTCATAAAATGTGATTTTAATGGATAAAACCCTCATTTTCGTTCTAAGAGTCATAAAATGGGATTCCACATGAAATCATCATAAATCATTCATTTTTGTTCAAGTATTTGAGAAAAAGGGAATAAATCATCAAGGGATCAAGATTCGGACTTGAATGAGCTTCCGGGAGGTCAAAAACAGTGTTCGGGGCCAAAATGGAGCGAAATTGGGCCAAAATCACGAAACAGCCGCGAAGCCCAACGGACCAAGGCTTCCAGGCGTCCAACATGGACGCTTGGCCAAGTTGGATGCTTGAAGTTGGACGCCTGGGCTAGATTGCAATCCAAGAAAGACACGTGGCAAAATCTGGTTGGCCGAAGCAGCTCAAGCGTCCCGATCTGGACGCTTGGACTTGGACGCCTTGGCTTCGTTCCTATAAATACAGCGCGATTCTCCCCATACACCCATCACTTTCATCCCCTCTCTCGGGATTTGAGCTTAATATTCCATTTCTAAATATTAGTTTAGCATTTTAGTAGTTTTAGAATAATTTCTAGATGAATTCTAATCCCGGTCTATTCTGTTCCGCCTTTACGGAAGTTGTAAGTTTACTCTATTTAATAAAATGCTGTTTTAATTCATGTTTGCATAGTATGAGTTAGGGTCCGGATCTCTGGGTCCGGACTAGTTTGGTTGTTTATTTTTTATGTTAAATTAATGTTGGAATAGTTAATCTATTGTTCTTGCCTTATCTGGTTAATTAATATTGGAAGATTTAATTGGTCATTTATTGAGAAAATATTGTATGCCAAAAGGCTATGATATTCAAGTACAACGGATTAAGTACAAATCTAGAAATGGATGAGTAGTAATAGAAATATTATTATTCCAATTGTTAATTTAATATGATAAAATAGATCCAAATGATGTCCTGACCCCAGGTCCAGATCTACACTTATACTATATAAACTTAATTTATTTATTATTTTTACTCTGCCTTTTTTGTCGTTCCGAGAAGACTTTCATAAACCAATCCTAATCTTCGCCTAATTAGAGTAATTAAACTAATTCCCTTCGCCCACTCCTCGAGAGATACGACACTCGGAGAGAAAACTAACCCTTTATTGGGAAGGTTTACTACCCGAAAAACTACAATTGTCAAATGGCGCCATTGCCGGGGAGTGGCACGACATTAGTTTAATTTCTTCTGATTAGCTTGGGTGAAGATTGGTTAGAATGATCTTCTCACTTTCTTTCACCAACCACCCGTAATAATTATTATGGATAACCCTAGTGGTTATTACGGTCCGCCTTCTTTCTACCAATCACCTAACCGCCCTCCGTTTCAAACCCATCCACCTTACCACCCGCATCAGAACCCATACGATGATGACTACCAAGTCAACAATGGGTCTGAGTACTATCCCTACCATGAGGAACCACCATATGATACCCCATCTGAAAACTTTGGATATTCTCCGTACCAAGACTCTGATGGCGAAGATTATTATGAACCTCATGGTGATCACGATGACTATGACCGCAATGGGCCTATATACGACGATCAAGCTGATCCGCTCGTCGAAGAAATAATAAGATTAGAACAGAAAATCTTCTATTTCGACGAAGTTTTATTCGCTGAAGGCTCCTGGTATGAACCACCCTACTCCCGTGACTATACCCTGTTTGCCAAAGAACAAATTGAAGCAAACAAGGTGGCAATTCGAGAAAGAGCGAAACTTCTTGAATCAGTCCGGAAGGAAAAGGAGTTCGAAAGGAGATTATGCAAAGGATCAGATATGATGCAGAAAATGATGGATGACTTCCAAAGAGAGAGACTAGAAGCCGAGGCTAAAGCTGATAAATTAGTCAATGATCTCTGTAAGGCTGTTGAACTTAAACGCTCCTTCCAATCTCAAGATCCACAATTGGAGGAAGTTAATGCTCAAAAAGAGGCTCTAGAACCTAAGACCAACCCTGAACCATCCAACCATCAGGTGCAAGTTCTAGAGGATTTACCTGGTTTTACACCATCACAGAAACCCAAGAGCATAACAACTCTCGCTAGGGCTACTGTGGTGATGTTACCTAAATCCCTTCCTAGCCAAGTCACAACCAGCATAGTCGTACATGAGGTGGAACCAACTGAGAGACCTCACTCAAAACCACCTACGCTCATTCAAGAAAAGGAGGAGGAAGTTTTGCCTACAGCAATAAACGACCATCTCCTTAATTGTGTTCAAGACACACCTCCAGAGGAACCTGTTCTGGAGAAAGTAGAACCCATTACCTGCCCCCAAGGTTCAATTAAGTCCGAGCAGGAATCTACAGACGAGGAAGTACGTTGCTCTGATTAACTAAATTCGTTTATAGAAACTTGCACAACTAATAATTCATCTGAAGCCTCAGACCATACTTTCTTTGATTCCCTACTTGACGAGTATGACTATGTCTGCTTGAAGGATGGTTGGAACTTAAAGAGTTGGGATGAACTTCTAATGAGTGACGACGAGGACTCTTCCTTGGGGGAGGGTACGATCATAATCATCAAACCACAAATGGATAGTCAGCCAATTGAAGATAAGGAAGAAATCAATTTCGCAATCAAGGCTAACGATGTGGATCTATTGAGGAGACTTCCGCCCCCACCCACCTATACAGAGTCTCCTCCNNNAAAGTCGCGGAAAAAGTGGGTCAGCGTCAAGCTACGGACGCTAAAGAAGCGCTTAAACGGGAGGCAACCCGTCATTCAGATAATTAAATTATTTAAAATGCTTATTTATATTTTACTTGCCGCACCAGTAGGGGGCAAGATTTTACTCGTTATACTTTTTTACAGATGGATGTTGCTTGGATGATTCCGCATGGAAACCGCCGCACATTACAGAACCTGGAAGAGCTCACCTTGCACTCAGAGGAAGCAAGGAAGAAGTTTCTCACTTGGGGAAACACGAAGATGCTCCAGCCTCCCATGGTGTTAGACCCTGCCTATCTGGATGAACTAGGGCACTGGCAGGACATCGATGAGTTTCTGTACAACCCAAAATGGAGGATCCTGCTGTTCCTGCAAGCACCAGCAAGCCTGGAAGTCACCATTGAGTTTCTTTGCTCTCTCCGCTTCCACAATGACGGAGAGGAAGTAAAGTCAACAGCTGAGGTCACCTCCACCACCAAGGTCACATTCACTCTAATGGGTCGACTGCTGAGCCTTACTGTGGCAGACTTAGAGTGGCTGATTGGTCTTTACACACTTGACGAGACGCGGAGCTTGGCCTTTGCTAATCTGCCCGACCAGTTGGATCTGGAGTTCGATGTGAGGAAGTTCTGGAAAGCTCACGGGTATGGGCGATATCACAGTGGAGCAAGCATAGCCAAGAATTGGGTGCGTCCGTCTTGGAGGATTTTACACCATGCATTGACTCACAGCTATTTGGGCCATTCTCGTGACTCCGATGTAGTGTTTGATTCTGATATGCTATTTTTCTGGAGTCTGGAAGCGCGCGTACCAGTCAATTTAGCAACTTTTGTGGCCCGATTCCTATTTACTCAGTCGACTAGCAACCACCAGTTTGTCTTGTGTGGGCCAATGGTTACGCTTCTGGCCCGAGGATTATGTATGACAGTCCCTAATGTTCTCCCAGAGGCTGCAAGCATATTCCGACCATCGATAAGGTATTTAATCCAGATCGCTTATAATAAGGAGGACAAGGAGGCACGCCCCAGAAAGCAGCATAGAATTCCCATGACCCTTCGTGAGCTTTCACAGGCTATGTTTGCATTCCAGGATTCTGTAGACTCTCGCTTAAGGAGCATGGAGACACTCCTCCTCACGCAACAATGGCAGGTGGAGGAAATACTTGAATACACCCGGGAACAAGGAACAAAGAAGGCTGAGCATGGGGCAGGTCCGAAACAAGGAAAACGTCAGGGATAGTGAGATCCCTCATTTCTTAATACTGCATTCAGAACATCATTTTTGGATATTTATATGATTCTATTTTGGAATTTCACATTATGACTCTTAAACCCATTTTGAGAAGTTTTATGCATTATTTCATATTTACATGTTATGGTCATTTATTATTTCAGTCTTCATCTTTGAATTTTATAAGTATTGAGATAACTGAGTAATTGCATGTGAGCATTTCATTTCAACCATTAACTCCAATGCCAAAATACTTTTAGCCACGTGGGCGTGGTTCCGTTTATGTGTGAGGAGGTAGGAGTTCCTGGTTGAAATGATCTCTTCAGGAATTGTTTTGTCTATATATTTGTAGGAAAAAATTTTTTATAGTATAGTCATCAATTTTAATTGTTTGATTAATTAATCTTTAGTTATCACCCGTAAAAATTGGAAATTTTTAAATTTTTGTCAAACTTCTATTTCTACTCTAACCTTTTTGGGAATGTTTTCTAAAATAATTTGGGATAAATTCACAATTTATTAAGATTTTTTTTTTGATCAATTAATTTTTAAGTGCTTTATTGAAAATCTTTTTGCTGATGCTCTTTTGAGTATTTGTTGTTTCTAAAAAGAGTTATTTTCAAGGTATAAGGGGTGACGTTTCAAAGCATACTTTGGTGAGACCGAGATTCTTTTTTTAGCCAAAAAGCAATTGGTTCTATGTCAATTGATGAGGCGTGGTGAGTATGCCAAAAAAGCATGTGGTTCTATATTGCGTGATGAGGCCTTTTGAGTGTTTGAGTCAAAAAGCATGCGGTTCTATGTCGTGTGATGAGACTTTCCAGAGTGAATATCCAAAAAGCTCGTGGTTCTATGTCACGGGATGAGGCTATAAATTTTTCTCGTGTCAACATGACAAAGTTATGCCAAAGAAAATTAAACCCTTACGCTTTGACAAATATTTTTGCAAGAACATGTTTTCCAATTTAGCCATTAAAAAAATTATTTGATCTTTAAAGTACTCTTGCAAATGTAGTTATCCCAAGGAAAGTTTGGAAAATTTTGGTTGGTGTAAAAATATTGGTTTGACAAAATTCTTTTACATTTCTAACAACATGGGTGAGAATCTAAAGGTTCATTTATTCTTAACAAAAAGGTTGACGACTATCTCATTCCTTCTTTCCTTCATAATATGTAGCTTAACCCTTCCCTCTGCAATTATTAATTTGTCTTTATACTTATACTTATTCAATTTGTTGCTTGAGGGCAAGCAACGTTTAAGTGTGAAGAATTTGATAAGTCCGTTTTGTTCTTATCATTTACATCATATTCTAAACGTTATTGCACGTAAATAGTATTTAATCATCTCATAAAATGTGATTTTAATGGATAAAACCCTCATTTTCGTTCTAAGAGTCATAAAATGGGATTCCACATGAAATCATCATAAATCATTCATTTTTGTTCAAGTATTTGAGAAAAAGGGAATAAATCATCAAGGGATCAAGATTCGGACTTGAACGAGCTTCCGGGAGGTCAAAAACAGTGTTCGGGGCCAAAACGGAGCGAAATTGGGCCAAAATCACGAAACAGCCGCGAAGCCCAACGGACCAAGGCCTCCAGGCGTCCAACTTGGACGCTTGGCCAAGTTGGACGC